CTCTCTGCTGTGGCCTGGGAAAGCAGTAGAAGATGGTCCAAATCCTTGGGCCCCTGTATCCACATGGGAAACCCAGAAGAAGCTCTTGGCTCCTAGCTTTGGATCAGTGCAGCTCCAGCCATTGCGACCAATTGGGGAGTGAATCAGCGGATGGAAGACCTCTCTCTCTCTCTCTGTGCTTCTCCTTCTCTCTGTGTAACTCTGACCTTCAAATAAATAAATAAATCTTTCCACTGGGATCTCACTCACTCACAGAGATCTTTCATTTAGGTCTTCTTCTTTTTTTTTTTTTTTCCCAGAGTGTCTTGGCTTTCCATGCCTAAAATACTCTCATGGGCTCTTCAGCCAGATCCGAATGCCTTAAGGGCTGATTCTGAGGCCAGAGTGCTATTTAGGACATCTGCCATTCTATGAGTCTGCTGTGTATCCCGCTTTCCATGTTGGATCATTCTGTCCTTCCTAATTCTATCAGTTAGTATTAGCAGACACTATTCTTGTTTGTGTGATCCTTTTGACTCTTAGACCTATCAGTGTGATCAATTGTGAACTAAAGTTGATCACTTGGACTAGTGAAATGGAATTGGTACATGCCACCTTGATGGGATTGTATTGGAATCTCCTTCCTCTCTGAGCTTCCTTCCTTCTGCAGGGGTCTGCGTGGCTCGCTTCCTCCCTCCTTTCTTTAGGTTCCAATCAAGCACATGTTCCCTGAGTGCCCTATTTAAACAGGTATTCCAAGTACTCCCTCCCTCCCCTCCATCCCATCTCTTCTCTGCTTTATTTTCCAACTTCTCTCTATTTGAGATGCTGTATAATTTACTCATTATTACAAACAATAATAAATATAGGGTCCATGAAAAAAATAAATCTTTTAAAAAATAACTAAAACATATAGCAATTAATTGCAAACATAGTACATATTAATCCAACAATATCAATAACCACTTCAAATGTGCTTCAGCTAAATACATCAATTAAAAGAATTTCACATGGGAAAATTTAAACCAACACCCAAATCTGTGCTGTGTATCAGAAAACCATTTTAAATATACAGACAAAGGCTGGTGCTACACTACAATAGGCTAAGCCATTGCATGTGATACCAGCATGCCATATGAGTGCTGGTTTAAGTCCCAGTTGTTCCAGTTCCAATCCAGCTGCCTGTCAATGTGCCAGGGGAAATGCTGTATAATCACTAGAGTGGTTGGGCCCCTGCACCTATGCTAGAAACCCAGATGGTGTTTCAGGCTTCTAGCTTCAGCATTGTTCAGTCTCAGCCATCGTGGCCATTTAGGAAGTAAACCAGCAGGTGAAATATCTCTCTCTCTGTCTCTCCCTCTCTTTATGTCACTCTGCCTTTTAAATGAATATATTTTAAATAAACAAATATAAAGACATATGAGGGGTTTGAGGACATATCGGTCTAAGGAAAACACATTTCATTTGCATAGGAAAAAATTCAAAAGAGGTCTGGCATACATCATGGTGACAGTAGTTAATGACAATGCATTTGACTATAGAAAGTAAATAAGAGATTACATTTTAAATAGCTCCAACATAAAGAATAGGTGTATAATAGAATGTATGTGGCAATTACCTTGGTTTATCCATTTTACATTATGCAAATATTTTCAACCATCATTTCTATGTGCTAAATGCAATCAATTTTTGTGAATTTAAGATAAACATTAAAATTAGTATTTTAATTTTTAAAATATTTTATTTATTTGAAAAACAGACTTATATAGATAGAAGGAGAGACAGAGAGATCTTCCATCTATTGGTTCACTCCCCAAGTGGCTGCAATGGCTGGGGCTGGACCAGGCTAAAGCCATGAGTCACCCATGTTGGTGGCAGGGGCCCAAGCACTTGGGTTATCCTATGCTGATTTCCCAGGCATATTATTAAGGATGTGGATTATAAGTGAAGCAGCCAAAAACACAAATCAGTACCCATATGGCCTAAGCCTTTGCACCACAATGCTGGCCCTCAAATAAGCATTTTATTTTAAGATTTTTCAAATATTTTTCTATTTCTGAGCACTGCATAAAGTATCATATTATAGGGATCAAAGAGTATAACCAAAAGGTTAAAAACAAATTTTTGAGTACCACTTCCATTCCTTACTTGAAGTGCAATAAAATATAGAACTATACTATTTCCATATTGAATACAAGTTAATAAAATAATTCCTGCAAATAATGTTGAGAACTTTACCTCAAATATTTGAATTATGATTTGAGATTTTCTAGTATACAGCAGAACTAGACTGGGAGGTTACTACCTAAGCAAGAAAAATATATATCATTAGCAAATACATGAATTGAGACCATAGTTGTAAATTTAGAAACTTGAGACAAACTATATTTATTTGAGGAGTTAAGTAAAAAAACTGCAATCTGAGAGGCACCATCCCTAAACAGGAACTTTATCACATATGCAGAGGCTGTTAGGAAAAGAGTTGCATATTGGTGCCTCCTCACATTTTACTTAAGGTCACTCAGCATTATCAGTTTTCAAAGAAACAAATACCTTAGAAATAAATCATTCTGCTTTGATAAATTATAATAATGTTAATGAAATTTGAAACTTCTTTAAGGGTAGAAGCCAAAATCCAAACTGGACAATCTTAAAAAAGCTGAAATGTAAAATGTTGACTTCCACTTAGATAAAATGAATTCTGTTCTAATCTCTAGGGCTTTATTTACCTCCTTACCTTTACTCTTTGGTCTGGTGATGACAGTGGCCCCTCAGCATTTCTAATTTCATTCTGAAGGCTGTGGTGGCTGTGGAACTTCTCCACAGAGCTTGAGTAGTGGCAAAATGGGAGTACATGTTCATCGATGAGGTAAGCACTGGGTGCCAAGCAGTGTGGGTCGGAGTCTCAAGGTGGAGTTTTTCCATGATCTTCTGGTGCCCACACTCAGCAGCAGCAAGATCTCAAATAAGTATTATAAAAGTGACATAAATATAAAGACACAAATTAAATATAAAAACATGCAGAAAGATAGACCATTAGAACAATAGTCCAAAGTAACCCAAAATAGCTATATTCACTTCAGACTAAACTTAGAGGTCTCCCACATGGGTGCACCCTCTGCTGCTTTCCAAGTCACATTAGCAGGGAGCTGGATCAGAAATGGGGCAGCTGGGAATTGAACTGAGACCCATAAGGGATGTGAGTGCTGCAGGTAACAGCTTAAATTACTGCAACATAGTGCCTGCCCTGGAATCTTTTTGGATGTCACTTCTAACACCAAAGTTGTCATGCTTCCTGAACACCAACCCAGTTCTCCAACACCTACTAATTATCAGACAGTTCAATTCTGATCCCATCTAGAGCTAGAAGAGAACTTGAAGATGCCAGACCCAAGCATGTTTGTGGTTTATGGTCAACTCTCTCCATTCTGAAGTTGTATAGTGAGCTCACAGTTATTGCCAGAAAGGGGTGTGTTATGAAGAATCAGAGCTACACCTATTACTCAGGAAATTATAAAGGCCTTAAAAATCTCTGTGTTAGACAATAAGTAGAAAGCCAAATAATTTGTTTCTTATAACTACATTCTCAAATAAACTCTCAAATTCATAAACCCTTTCTCAGCCAGCAAAAGCTAACTTTCCCAGGCATCCTCAATGGGCAAAAACTCTACCTGAAAAAAACTACTCTGTGATACTATTCATTTCTTTTTCTTTTTTTTTTATTTTTGACAGGCAGAGTGGACAGTGAGAGAGAGAGAGAGACAGAGAGAAAGGTCTTCCTTTACCATTGGTTCACCCTCCAATGGCCACTGTGGCTGGTGCGCTGCGCCGATCTGAAGTCAGGAGCCAGGTGCCCCTCCTGGTCTCCCATGCAGGTGCAGGGCCCAAGCACTTGGGCCATCCTCCACTGCACTCCCTGGCCACAGCAGAGAGCTGGCCTAGAAGAGGGGCAACCGGGACAGAATCTGGTGCCCCAACCAGGACCAGAACCCGGTGTGCCGGCGCCACAAGGCGGAGGATTAGCCTATTGAGCCACAGTGCCAGCTTCTGTGATACTATTTAATAAACAAACAGATGGATTTTAGGATTTCCTAAAGGTGTGGAAAGACAGAATCAATTAAAAGGTCTATTCAGTGAGGTAATAACTGAAAATATCCTTAATTTGGAGAAAAGGGGACAATCAAGTACAGGAAGCACATAGAACTCCTAATGGACATGACCAGAAAAGATCTTTAGCATGACACATGGTGGTCAAACTTTCAACAGGAAAATATAAAAAAAGGATTTTAAAATGTACCTGAGAGAAATGCCATATTGCCTTCAGAGGAGCTCCAATTAGATGAACAGTTGATTTCGAATCAGAAACCTTATAGGCTAGGAAAGAATGGAGAGTCGTAGTCGAAGTCTTTTTTTTTTTTTACTTGGTGAAAAACACATTTTAATCCAAAATTGTGAACAACAGCATTTAGGAAATTATATACAAAGGTATTTACAGTCAATTTTACTCTAGTTGTTATGAATAGAAACGCACCTATATACATAGAGCCGTCTACAGTTGCTTCTTCCCAAAATACAAAGAAACCAGTGCAGAAAGGCTAACAGTTGAATGGTGCCTCAGCTCAAAATTGTTATGATCAGATGAGACCCTGACCAATTTTCCAGGACTGAAAAACACTGGTTAAACTGGGATAGTAGAGGCACGTGTGTGCCACCCTGTTTCCTACTATACCCATGCTGCTGCTCCTCTACTTAATTGACCTGCACGTGAACTAAGACCTGCAGCTGAATTCTGGACACTTCTGTACAACAGGCCTGTCCGGTCCAGGCTGAGTCCACAGCAAATGGTTTCACTACACGACTGACAGTGCCTGTTTGCAACAGAAGTAGATACAAGTTTAAAAAAGACTGGACTAATAAAATCACCCACCAGTCACTTAACTCATGGCTGAAGCAGCCAAAAATCCATTCTAGATCACAAAATAAGGCTTGCGTGGTTTTATGATAGACACTATTTGTCACAGCTACATTTTACGTGGCCAAGACGCTGGTCAGAAATCTAAACCATAATATTGTGTTCTTATAGAAAAATACAATCCCATTTTATGAGTTTCTAGGAATAAATTATGGAGAAAAAAATAGAAACTACCTGCTGTCCATGGTCTCCCTGGGCTTTACAGACCTTGCCTGTGAAAACACACATACAGAAGGTCGTATTTAACCTCAAATACAGTCCATTATTTTCTATTCCTCTTAATTCTTTAAATGACCAGCAATGAAGATGATAATGATTATCGGGTAGTAGGGAAAAAAACTGTAACCTACTCATTTTTCCAGCTAAAAATTTCATTTAAGAAACATGTGGCATTATCTTGTAATAATATGAGTACAAGATAACTGGAAATCCAGTTCTAATTATTTTTTTCCTATTGAGAGACAGAGACACACACACACACACAGAGACAGGCAAAGCGGGGAGCTCCCACCTGCCAGCTCTCTCTCCAAATGCCTGCAATGCCAGGGCTGGGCCAGGCCACATCCAGGAGTGCGGAACTTCACCTGGGTCTCCCACACGGGTGGCAGGGAGATAAGTGCTGGATACATCACCTGCTACCTCCCAAGGTGCACATTAGCAGCAAGCTGGAATGTGGAGGGGAGCCAGGCCTTGGGCCCAGGCCCTCTGATATGGGCTGTGGCTTCCCAACTGGCAGCTTCACTGCTACACCAGGCGCCCTCCCACTGCAAGTTTCCAACTACAAATGGTTGGCGACTGTTTCCTTGATAGTTATTGCAGGAGTAGGTCCGACGTGAGTCCATATATAGCCCTTCTCAGGTCTGGTAGGAACCGTGGGAAAAGGTGATGACCGTGACTTGAAATATTCAGAAGGTGCATGACAAACAAACTCCAAGTATTTCATCTTCCTTGGGAGCTCTTCTTCTGGCCCTATGATATAGGACGCAGGATCAAACCGGTCTCTGGGGCTGGAGAGAGTGGGAATGAGCCACGTCAGAGGCGCACTCTTCTCGCAGTACTGCTCCTGGATGAAACCCCTGATCTGAGCATAGTAGGGCTTTCCATCTTGCTCATCAATCACAGAAACCACGTCGCCAATTTGGTAATACACACCCTTGTAGAAGATGGACTCTGCAGTAATTATGGTGGAGACCGACTTGGAAGCTTTGATGGGGTTTTTCAATTTAAAAATATGCCTTCTCCCTTTGCCTCTGGTGGACACTTTCTTTTCGGCCGCTGGAGTGGATTTGTATTTAGTGTTTCTCAGCCGAGCAGACCTCCAGTGGATTTCCTGCTTACTCTGCTTGCCGCCCCCGCTGCCGTTGCTTTGCTGAGGGGTGGCCGACGTGCTGGCGAAGGTGGTCGAGCGGAAGCCGCCGCCGCCGCCGCCGCCGCCCCCGCCGCGGTGGAGGGAGGGTGGGATGAAAAGTATCAATATGTTCCTAAGTCAGTATATATGAAATACATGAAATTTGTATACCTTAAATATTTTTTTTTAAATCAGCAGTGAAGCCATTCGGTTCTGGGCTTTTCCTTGTTAAAAGGTCTTTATTACTGATTCAATCTCCATCTTGGTTATTGGCCTATTTAGGTTTTCTATGTCTTTGGGAGTCAATTTTGGCAGATTGTATGTGTCCATAAAACATTCCATTTCTTCTAGGATTTTCCAATTTATTGATGTATAGCTATTTGTAGTAGCTCTTCATGATTTTTTTTAAAGATTATTTATTTGAAAGGCAGAGTTGCAGAGTCAGAGAGAAAGAGAGAGAGAGAGAGAGAAGGAAGGTCCTGGCTGCTCCACTTCCAATCCAGCTCCCTAGTGATGAACCTGAGTAAACAGCAGAGGATGTCAGGTCCTTAGGCCCCTGTCCCACCATGAGACCTCAATGAACTCCAGGCTCTTGGCTTCAGATCAGCCCAGCTATGGCAGTTGCTGGCCATTTGGGGAGTGAACCAGTGGATGGAAGATATATGACTGAATGAGCAGATACTAACATGTCTCCCAGGAATGAGAATGTTCTTGTGAGAGGAGAATCTTAATGTCCCTATGGGTTAGCTCTTCAGATCAAGGATATACTATAGCTACTTCTCAGGCTTAGGGCATAAGCTACTACCTTGCTTTCTTCCAGAAAGAATGAGCTAGGAGTAAACTGCACAGTCCTAGGGACTGAGCCACCAGGAGCATCTTAGATCACCACTCACACAGTTTTGAAACTTAGGACAAGGAAAAGAGTGAAGGGAGCTTTGAGGAGACACCACCTTGTAAACTTTCCAAGGGAACAAGCCAATGACATTCATGATGAGATATCTGCATTTATGGTAACTAAAAGGACATGTGAAAATATTTTTTAAAATTATTTTACTCATTTGAAATGCAGAGAAACAGAAAAAAGAAAGATTTGTTTTCCTCCTTCATCGATTCACTTCTCAAATGCATGCAACAATGATGACCAGGCTGAAGGGATGGACCAGGCTGAAGCCAGAAGCAGGAAACTGAATTTGGGTCTCCCATATGGGTGATAGAGACCCAAGTACTTAGGCCATCATCCACTGCTTACAAGAGTGTGTAATAGCAGCAAAGTGGATTGGAAGGAAGGCTGATACTCTGATATGGAATATGGACATCTGAAGTGACATCTTAACACCTGCTGTAGAGTCAAAATCAAAATGGAGTGAGTGTGGCTAAGATATGATTTCAGATCTCTTGCTTCTGTACATATTAGCTTTGCTTGCTAATGGCTAAGGGTGTATCCTGTAAAACTATGTGGGCCAAAATTCCAAGGAAATAAGTTGAGAGAAATGTGTCCTGCACTGTTATCTTGCAACCATATTTTAGAGTTGCTATTGTTCCTGGGTTTGTTATTATTAACTGTTATCTTACAACCATATTCTGTTGTTGTTTTTTTTTTATTGTTCACTGCATACCAGGGATTCGAAATTGTGAGCCTTAGTGGAAGAATATTGTAAAAAACTGTGTAACTCGCTGTTGGGGACCACACTCTGGTAAGGAGTGATGGTCCCAATCAGATGCCTTGCCTCTCATTTTCAATTAAATTCACGTGTGACTGTCACTTGTTTTTGTAATACTCTATTTTAGCTGACGAATGGATGCAACACTGCTCTAAACATCCACCAAAGCAGAGTTTTTACATGAGAATGATAAATAGGTTTTCTCCACTTTCTTCTTATGTGAAATGTTCACAAATAGAAAACAAACCATTTTTTATTCCTGTGGAAAAATGCTGATTGTTCTTTGGAAGAATGCTGAAATACTGAAGCTGAATGAAAGGTATCATGGCAGAAAATATTTAATAGTGTTGGGAACTTCAGAGGGGAAGGTGCCATTTGACAATGTGGGGCTGAATGCAGATATTTAGGATTTATTTCCACATATAATGGTTTGTCCCCTTTGAAACTTATGGGGAAATTTAATCCAAATTATCATAGTAAGAGATGAGATCATGTGGAACCTTAGAGGAGGTGATTAGGATCAATTCTTTCATGTGATTAATGGGTTACAGGTTTATCTCCAGGGGTCTGTTTCAGCAGTCACTTTACATTAGCCTCTCCTATACTCAGCTTTATTGGTCCACATGGTTCTTGTGCTAGGCCTTTGCCAATAAGAAGGCCAGCACCAGATGTTGCCCCTCAAACCTGGGACCTAATCCTTGAGCCAAATAAAACCATTTCTTTGTAACTTACCCAGTCTGATACTGTGTTATTAACAAGAGAATACAGATTAAGATCCCGAGGAAGAGCCGTGCTGAGAGGTCAGGGTCATGGACTAGAAATCTTGTTTCCCAACTCAGGGGGACCAGATCACCCCTGGTATGAGAGGAAGGTTTAAGGATCCTACAGATAACAGCAGATCCCCCCAGTGAATAGCATATCTGCAGACATACTCCCTCTGAGGACCTCTCATCCTACCACACTATATAGGGAGACGTGCGCCTATCCAGAGGGCCTCCAGCACTGACCAGAAGTTTCTGTGTGCAGGAACAGGACAGAATGCTGAGGGGCCCAGCTACCTGCTCAATTCGAGCAAACTGGCCCAACACACTCACCATTTCCTTGCTTCCGTGATATCCAGGCACCCTCTTGAGGGGTCTTGTGATGACCAAAATTTGCAGAGCGACGGACCAGCTAAGGCCTCTCTCGGGAGCAGATCGGGGAGTTGAGTACAGCGGTGACAAAAAATAATATCGCACGTGGTTCCCCAATGATGCCCCTGGGCGCCTTGATTGAACAATTTGCCCAACCGGCAAGAATGCACGACGTCAGAAAAGGTGTAGCCAATCAGAATCCCATTAAGGTTCCTTGTGACTATTTCTGGAGAGGGGAGAAGCTTGGACTTAAGCTGCAACTCTTCTGGCGGTAGGAGAGCACTTTCCACTCTCGATGGTCCCACCTCCTTGGATCCCCCCCTCACCCTCCCACCCTCCCTCCCTCCAGTGATCACAATCCTACTGAGATCTCATGATCCTGTGCTTGCAGTAACCTGCTTCACATGAGCTACAATTTACAAAATGTTGGCTGGACTGTGGGCCTTTCTTTTTCTTTGTATTCATAGCTTATTTTATGAGGTTGTTTGACTTTTTTTATATTGATTTTAAGACTAAAAATATTATGTAGGTTAGTTTTTTGTTTCATTTCTCTTATAAGTATTTGATTTCTAGTCTGTGTTTTGTCCTTTAAAATGTTTTCTATTTGTTTCTTACTGGTACATAGTAACCCAGTTGATTTTTATGTATTTATTTTATACCTAGTAAGCTTAATTCTCTTATCAGTTTTATTTATCTAGGGATTATGTTGTATTTTCTCTGTATACAATAGTATCATCCAATATATTAACAATTTTGTTGCTTAAAAGTTTATCAAAAATTTATACCTAATATTTCCTTTTTTGTTGTTTTATTTACCTGATTATACTTCCAAGATGAAGTTGGAGAGAAACAATGAGAAGAGATAGACTTGTCTAGATCTGTTCCAAGGAAAAAAGCTTGCAATGTTCTGTAGTAATTATGCTGCCTTAGGTTCATTTTACACAATCTTAGTTGGAATGTGGAAGTTGCTATTTTAATATTCTATTAGTTGTTGTGTGTTTATGGCCCAATGATGAATTTTATTATATGTTTTTTAACATTTACTCTAAATGATCACATTATTCTCTTGTATTTTTCACCCATGTGAATGTTTACTCTATTTGTTCCAGACTGTTAACCCCCTTTGAACATTTTAGTATATTCTGTTCATTATTAATTTATGATCATTTCATATTTTTGCAGAACAACCCCCCAAACTAGTTGGAAGTGTTGTTTTAGAACCCCAAACATGGCCTACTTGTTCAACATGCAGAAAGCCAATTACTGACATCAATGTAGAAGCAAAGAGGTGTTTATTTCAAAGACAGAGCAAGAATCCATGCAGCTATTGCTTAATTCCTAGACTCCCCAAGGAGTAGGGTTGAAGGTTTTTATAAATGAAAGCTAGGGCTGACAGGTAGAGGTTTGTCTTGTGTGCAAGGCCCTGGTGTTTCAGTGGTACTCATGACCTTCCTTTGATTGGTGGCATGGTGCACTTTGGGGGATTTTTTTTTATAATGGCCCAGTGGGCTTCAGTTAGTCTGGGGGACTACATGTAAGTGGTGGTTATCTTTTTCCCAGACCTGGAATTTCCATGCTGAATCTGGAATCCCCCTAAACTAACCCATCCAGGGAATATTGACCAGCAGTATTTGATCTACTGCAGGAGCAAGTGCTTCCTTGTACTGTGGGAGAATGGCATTTAATTTTAATCATATCCTTTGCCTTTTACATTAAAAGCATTCTAGGTGCAGGAACATAGGTGATGAATGAAGTAATAAAGTTTATTTAAAAGGTAAGAAAGCAAACACAAACATGAGTGGGCATAATTGAAGAGTAGAGTTGGTCAGAGAGAGAATGTGTAGGGGAAAGGAAATATAGAGATGGCACCTCACCACCTCCATTAGTCTTGATCTCCAATGGAAGACAGCATAAGCACCTCCCAGCACCTCCTTTTATGAGATAATGTGGTCACTTGTGAGGTTTATGGAAGCTCCATAAAATTCCAAGTGGAGCTCAATATACATATTTACATGACTTTCCCCTAGGTCCCAGATGAAAAGAAGGTTTCCTGGGAAAGGAGGTGTTCTGACAAATATTGTAGAATTACACGGGGGCAGGGCTTTATGGCTTTTGAACTCCAGCTCACTTAGCTACCTTATCCCATATCACACGAGCCTGATGATTTGTCAGCACAGCTGTATCACTTCTTCAATTCAGTGAATTTCTTTTGGTAAAGGACAAGCAAGGACCTTGGTCTAGGGAAACAAATGAGATGATGGTCCTGCCTTTACATTATAGGGGTTCAGTCACAATATGTAATTGAATATGATAATACTTTAAAATATTTGTATCTCTT